AGAGAAAGAGAGAGAGAGAGAGTGATTGACAGAGAGAGAGAGAAAGAGAGAAAGAGAGAGAGAGAGAGAGATTGACAGAGAGAGAGAGAAAGAGAGAGAGAAAGAAAGAAAGAGAGAGAGTGGGGGAGAAAGAGGAGACCTATACACACGTAGACGTTAGCCAGGTTTGTTTACGACCAGTGTAACGTTGGGTGCCGTACATGTTGTAGCCGCGGGCGCACGCCCTGGCTCACGCTCAAACTCTACATTCTACATGGTACCTCCACCTTCGCAACACGAGTGTTGAGCTGACGTCTCTAGCTCTAAGAGCAACGAAGCATTCTCTAGCAACAAACACGTCTGTGATCACAGTTGTGCGATCTACTGCCACGAACACGTTCTATCGCGTGAGAACGATTCTTACGGATGTGGAAGATGCAGAAGAGGAGGTGGAGGTTAAGTGAGAGATTTATATAAGCTTGGATATTATGTTTACAGTTAGGGTTAGGATTAATCGCGTGTGCTCAGTGTTTGTCTAACGTTTCTGTAAGCTCAGACTATTAACGTTTCTACAGACAGGTTTTTGAGTATGATGGATAACTGGAAGAGGTGGAAGAGGAAGAAGAAAGCGACGAAGAACAACAAGAAGAAGAAAAACAAAAAAAAGAAAACGCAAAAGATGAAGATGAAGATGATGAAGGAGAAGAAGAAGAAGAAAAAGAAGAAGAGAAGAGAAGAGAAGAGAAAAGAGAAGGTATATAGAGGAGCCATGGAGAAGATATATACCAGATCGGCGTCCTTATTCACTCTCATGTAGAACGACTGTTCACCTCTGAGGAACCTCGCATTGTTCGTGGCGATCCTAGCGTGGTTCACCGCGTAGTTCTGACGTTTCTCGTTCGAAAACTTCTTACCTTCAATGAACAATGAACTCCTTAAACGATGTCGTTCATTCGCTCGGTCGTTCGTTCGTTCGTCTGTTTATTTATTCGTTCATTCGATCATTTATTTGTATCGTTCGTTTGTTTGTTCGTTCGTACGTTAATTAAGTAGTTTTTTTATATTACAATAAAATCAAAGACAGGATATGGTGTCACGCCTTAGGAAGAGACGTTCTCTCGAAAGCTCGCTCGATGCTACAGTCTTATGACCCCATATTCGATATCGATGTTGTAACGTTATGCATCGCCTTTCCCCCCTGTTCCCGCCTCCCATCGTGCTCACGTCACGAGCTTTTGTGCGGCTATTTGCGGAAACACGGTGATTATAAAAACAGATCGAAGCCTCGTCTGGAATTCTTGGAACCTGGCGGAAGGCACCTTCAGGCTTGCGGTGTGAAGCACAATAGCGTTGACCCCCCCCTTCTCCCACACCACCCCGAAAGGGCTCTCTCTCTGCTCTCCATCTGCTCGCTCTCTTTCTCCTCGTCTCTCTCTCTCCCTCTCCTCTCGCTCTTTGCTCTCTCTCGCTCTTTTGCTCTCCGCTCTCCTCTTCGCGCTCTCTCTGATCTCTCTCTCTCTCATTCTCTCTCTCCTCTCTCTCTTCTCGCTCTCTCTCCCTCTCTCTCTCTCCTCTCTCTCTCTCTCTCTCTCGCCTCTCGCTCCCTCTCTCTCTCTCTCTCTCTCTCTCTCTCCTCTCTCTCGCCTTCCTTCTCTCTCTCTCTCTCGCTTCTCGCTTCTCTCTCTTTCTCCGCTCTTTCTCCCCTCTCTCTCTCTCTCGGCTGATGGCGAGATTACCATCGTGTGCTATAAACTTATAGGTAAACATAGCGCAGGAGCTTTTTACTGCGGGATTTTACCTGGAATCTCCGTGCGCCCAAATAAATTATTATTCTATCGAAATATGATTCAAACAGAAAACGGAGAACGAGAGCGTTTGTTGTAAAGTTTATATATATCAATTTTTATGTGTACAGAAATTCTTACATTTCTATATACTATCCGCCGGTAGTTACTTTCTCTTATAATTAATGGAAAAAATAAAATTAATGACGCGCGGGCTTGCCGTATAGAAGGTAACGAATACATTAGATAGGTATTCCGTTATTGTACATTATTATAATAACAGGTATATTCGTGGAGTAATAGTTACCGATTACACGACATGCAGTACCTGTGCATACTGGTCACTTAAGAAGAAACGCAAATCGTGTCATTTATAGACAGTGTCCGTTCTATAGGAGGTGTCATGCTATACAGGTGGGTCCGTTCTATAGAGGTGTCCATGCTATACAGGTGGCCGTTCTATAGAGGTGTCCATGCTATACAGGTGGCCGTTCTATAGAGGGGTGTCCTGCGTTATACAGGTGCCCGTTCTATTGAGAAGTGACCGCTAACGCAGGCGACGGCACGCGCGAACCCGGAGACAACGGACACCGTGTACGTACACGTGACGTCAGCGACGGTCATCGTCCGGCGAAATCATTTGAATTTGTTCATACAGAAAGGATTCTCTCCTGGCATTTCTTATTACGTATAGTTTTCTCAATTAAGACGGTTTGTACAAAAGCGTGTGTAGGCGAGAGCAAAGATTTATACGTCCACCGGTCGCCCCGGTAAAAACTAAACACAATAAATATCATGCGATTATATAACATGAGATGTTCTCCAACCAATCATCATCGGTGGATATATAGTGATGAACGATCACGTCGATACGATGAACCAATTCAGCCGTCGGACTCCGATTGTTATCATGATTGAGGATTGATACATGAGTGGGATAATCGCGATCTTTACAGAACAGTTCTTAGTGAATAAATACTCTGGCGCCAATATTTAACCCTCTAGCGTTAAGCATAAAACATCGCAGTGCTTTCCTATGCTCTGCGCTCACGCCACGCCACGCACGCACGCACGCATACACGCACGCCGCATACACGCACGCGCGCACGCACGCCACGCTGTGAAGACCCCAACACGCCGCGACGCACGCACGCACGCACGCATCACGCCACGCAACACGCGCGCACACACTGCCATTCTAGCTAATACACCATGTATATTATAGTATCAATGTATATACACACAAACAAACACAGCTCTTCCGCACACAAATGACATTCAGACTTTCACCACAGACACCCACCGAAACTTCAAAAACTCTTACGCGCCAGACGTCTTTAGAAGATAGAGTCATATTGCAGAAACAGAATTAGTCTTAACATTTAGTGTTAACTTCTTCATCGTACTAGACCGGACGTCATTGTACTCTTGCGATATGAGGAACTTATATAGACGTTACAGCGTGTTCTGTCGCCAGTCTACGGCGAATAAATTTAATGTTAACACTAATGTTGACAATTATATTCAATTATGTAATAATGTTAAGGAGCTAATGTTAGTAATTAGTCTACTGACAACCGGATAGCTTACAGACTACGTTTCTATTCCACGATCACAACAAACAACAACACAACAACAACAACAACAACAAACAGACAACGACGACGACGACTGACAAACACACAACAACGACGACGAAAACACACAGCAGCAACCAATCTTCTGACCAAGCGATCACGTGATCACGTTTCTATCAAAACATGGAGCGTCCTGCCCACAATAGGCGCGCGTTCA